TTAAATTGTTTTATATTTTAATCGGACAATTTTCCGGGATTTTTCAATTAGGGAATCAGGAGTCTATAACTTTCTTAATTTTACTGATAGCTAAAATCTAAAATATAAAACATTAAGAGTGGGGGTTTTGTTATGACACTCAAACTTCCCTCCCCTGGTTATGTCACTGTTGGTATCCATAGATCTCAATATACGGGTACATAATGTATAGTACCTAACTATAATATTTATCGCGATATTTCTGCGCCTAAACGTCCGGGGCAATATTATTGTACAATAATCAAATAATAAAATTATAATAATATTAAACGTTCGTGTTTCAATAAATCCGATTGCAGTTGCCCGCATCAGACGGTACTCCTGTTATGACGTGTCCTATACAAAACTGCATCAACAGCGGGCCAACAAACAAACAGAAGAATAAACATAATATACAATATTATTTATACGAATCCGTCGGAAGATTTATCGGGTGCGCGCGTGTGTGCGTGTGTGTGTGTGTGTGTGTGTGTGTGTGTGTATGTGTGTGTGTTGTCTTGTGTGTTAGAGGGGTGGCGGAGATAACTCAATCGTTTTCTGAAGATGTCACACGCGACGGTTTTCTCGACGATCCGCGTCCCCGATCGGATCTACATATTCTATGCGAGTATAAATTATACGAACATACGACGGGTAACACGGTGTTAATATTATATGCGTATAATAATGGAAACGATCGTATTCGTATACAACATAATAGTATGGCGTGCTGTTGCAGCACGCCAGGTATAAATTCAGATGCCGTCAGATGTATTCGATTACCATCGGGGGTGTTGACACGGTGTTTGACACTATTTACGACGCGTATACCTACATAATAATAATAATAATAATAATAACATTTTTATGTTGACGCCGGGTGCAGACGACCAGTTCTTTCGGTCCTCGAAGCGCGCGGATCGTCCCGGATTAATCGTCGCGCCGCGAGATTGTAGCGCGGCAACGGCCGTGACACCGAACCGGAGAGAAAATCGAATAAAACATGTCTGTTACTGAAAAAAAAAAAAAAAACTGAAATACCCACGCGGTTACGTGTGCCTTGTCGTCGCTCGTTCGATTGAATTGGAATACGCGTTATCATCGACCGACGATCTGTATAATAATCGTATGGCACTATAGGCATATTATGACAACAACCTAAATTCGTCTTGTACAAAAAATAACTATATATTAAATATTTTTGGAAAAATATTCTTTTTCGCCTCCGGAAAAATTATTTTCTCAAGAATAGTTGTTTTATTGTTTCCGAAAAAGTGTTGAAAGTCAAAGAAACGCGAGAAACTACAAAACTATCACTATACTATGCAATGAACAGGGCCGGTGTTACCTGATCATTGACCTTTTTTTTCGCGTTGAATTTATAATTTTCATTAATTATTCAAAATCCTCCTGTTTTTTTTTATTTGTTCCATTTTTTCAGGAAATTATCCGATACTTTGATCTCTACGATACAAAAATCACTATTGTTTTGTTTTCATTAAATTCAGATTATTAAAATTTTGGTTTAAACATTTTATATGGTTGATATTATACCATACTATTATAGGTAATAATATGGTATCGATCACTTGCATTTATTAGGTTACCAACTCCGCATATAGACGAGTAGGCATTATATACCTAATACTTATACTATACTACTACAGTACTACTACTGTATATAATTTCTTTTTTTTTCTCGAGCATTTTACCTGAACAATTTGGCTGCCCAAAGCTTATTTCGTCCAATAGATCAGCTATTGCTGAATTAGAAATTGCGGAAATCAACTTACATTTACTTATAACGAATGGGCTATAATTTACAATTTGTTCGGAACGATTCAGCCGTGATGGGGATGAGGCAACTTTACATACGTAAACCACTCTTGTACTTATCGTCATTTGTTATAATTTTATATGATGGTGCTGGGTGAAATAATCGAAGCATTTTTACAAATCGAAAAAGTTTTGAAATGTTTTTTCAAACATAGAAAGTAAATTTTTGGAAAAATGATTGGGAATTTCGAAAAATTGTTCGAATATAGTACCGCCAAGTATGAAATATTTTTTTCACTACACACACGATTTAAAATCATCCATACTTGTTAACACCGCTGCGTTATTATTATTATTATGTTGTATATAATTAGCGTAATATAAATATACAATATCCCGAGGGATACGGAATGGTTTCAAGTTCTCAACATAATGCGTTGAGAATATTTCACGAGCTATCAATAGAAAATGTATAGAATAAGTTTTTATAATATTATTATTTTAAAATATTAACAACCTGAAAATCCACTCTATAACCCATCTATAATTGTCGCAATAGATTCTTCCTTGAACGCGTACGACAGTAATCACAAAACGTACCCCGAAACCTTCGGTAATTGACTTTAATAACCGGACGGCCAAAAGAATATTACGCACTCGTGCGCCTCGGTATTCAAATTCCAACTTACCTCCTCCGGTTATTGTATTATTATTATTGGCGGCTGGTTACACTACGCTATGTCTAGTATAATAATAATAACTGATAATAATATAATAGCGAAACGCATCGCGAACAAAAAAAAAAAAAAAAAAAAAAAAAAAAAAAAAAACTAAAAATAAAAAAATAACAATTTAATCATTGACAAGCCACAGCGATGTCCCTTTTGTATAATAATAATATATTATTGTGTAGCACATTGTGTACCCCCTTGCAGTATGTAAACAGACTGTCAACAGCAGCAGACTTACCTGTCAGCGAATCGCGTGACGTTTCGGGGAGGAAGGAGCGATCTCGTGCGCTAGAACCGGGGGAAACCGAAAATTGCATCCCTCCTATATACGCTTACCGCGCGCGTTCGTTCATTGTTGTAATTTTTTATTATTACTATTATATATATATATATTTTTTTTTTTCACTATTTTAATGGCGTCTTTTTTTCTTTTTTTTTTTCTTTTTTCGTCACCCGCAGCGATCAGAAGTCGGCCACCATCATATTACTCTCTCGGCGTGAATTTCTTTTGTCCCCTACCCCCCCCCCCAAATCCCCATCTCCCCGACGCCTGTGCACAGTATACTCGTATATACTCGTATTATTCGCCCGGATGAATGGATCGCCAGAGGGAATTATTCGTAAACGGAATATTATTCGAGGGGTTGGTACATTATTATTACGATAAATGCAAATGGCTGACGTACCTCCCCGTCGCACTACTTGCCACACGGCGTCCGGACGATAATTATGTATTTTTCGCGAATCCCGCGCGCGCGGTACCTACATAGATCGCCGCGGAGAAAGGAAATATGGAGGGGAAGTTATTAGTACGTCCCGTTCGCGGGCCGGCGCGACCGAATAATATTATACGACAGGCGAATAAAATGTATTATAACAATAACGCGTCGTACCGGTTCGCATATGTATTGTGAAAGAAAAGGGGAAAAAAAACCAAAATCTACTCGCTCGTGCAGCGTGTTAAACAGCTGCTAATCCGCCGCGGGGACGACGCGAAACGTTACGTGTTTTCGTCCGTTTCGCACCCCGCGCCGTACAATTATTATCAACGCGTCGCGGTCACCCCGTCGACCGAAAATTCGAAACAAACGAGTAATCCGCGGGGTAATGCGAACGGCGTACAATCGGGGCCCGTCACGCGAACGTGATATCCGTATGCCACTTACCTAAGGGCATACTTACCCTACTCACCAATGCGCGCGAATAAGTGCAGCGCGATAGTATACGCGGTATTTGCGTACCGTGCGCGGGTTTCGCACTCGAATATTTCACGACACGTCGAAAGTGTCGTTGGTAGACACGACAAACAGACGGCGACGGGTCGCTTTTTTTTCTTTTTCTTTTTTTTCTTTCCATTAAACAATCGTATTGTCCGACGACTCGGTTTATTTCCGTCGCACGCGTAATATTGCAGGTAGACGTACGTACCACTCTGCGGCCGTTCGATAAAACCCCGTACGAGTCTCCGCGCGTTTACACCGCTATTCGCCCATAAAAGTCTAACTGTCAACTGCCATTCCGCTTGGTCCGCACAGGGGAACCGTGTACAGAGGGGCTCTGTGGCCGCAGCCCCCCCCCCTTTCTCACGAGCTTGACGAGACGAAGCTCAGCTAGAATATTTCTAATATTTCTCATGTTATAAACTAAAAACCAATATTTGTCGTGAACATCCACAAAATACTAATTCTATTCATAGCAAATTCGCTATTTAGTTTGCTAATTGAGAAAGATTAACGGTTTTTTTTTTTTTTTTTTTGATATTGATAACATAGAAAAAGTGTAGATCGTGGTAACCAACCAGTTCTTGGTTGACTGGCGTCTGACATATTTTAATTTTTTTTCTTTTGAGTTTTCATGATGTTATTAAAATACTATTAAAATTTTATATCGTACAAAACAACAATCAACTATATTTTAGTAATTGTTTTACGGAAAGTTAAGATTTAGGTAAAACTCTACATGCGTTTACAAAACAGTTATGCTCACACCGAATACCTAGCCGTGAGTCATTTGGTCGAAGGTTTAAGATAATGATTAGCTGTTCGATTACTTTATCTAGTATTCTTATAGATGTAACCCGTATGTAGGTATATCGTAGTAGATACTTAGTGCGTAACGTGTGTTCAATATATTACGTTAGTATTATACATATATTTTTCCAACAACAGTTGAATTTTTTTTTTAATATTTTTATATAAATATTGATATTATATCTAGCGTCCATGGAGGAATATTATTAAATATAAATAATTTCATACGTATAAAAAAAAAAAACAAAAATATATTACGTAAAACTGACGGCAAACACGTATTTTATTGGATATGTGTGAATAAATGTGGTGTAAAACTTCGAACTTTGCAGGCATATAAAAAAAACATGAACACGATAAAATTTCAACTATTTTTCCAAATCAACACTGTCATGCTTCCGATCCTATAGGCTTGGAAGTAAAAAAAATAAAATAAAAAATAAAAATGAACGCGAAAAGTTCAATCGAAGATAAACCGTTACGGGTTTATCAAACATTTATTAACGAGTGTTCGACAATTGTTACTTCGCACGTGAATAAGAATTCAGTTCAACAATTAGTAAACGTCAAAGACACAGTGTTGAAATCTACAAAGAACCAAAATTTATTGATAAAATATGCCTAACCCCAACAATGTGTCAAACACTAAAAAGTGAATTAATTTTGATTAAAAAATAATGAAAAGTTGCTATTGTTTACGACAAATGATAACTGTACATATTTAAGCGAATCTATCTGCTGTTTAGCAGATGGAATATTCAAGGCTTGTTCACACATTTTCGAACAAATGTATGTTATTTACGGATCGATTAAACGCAGAACCAACGAAATCTTTGTACCGTTAGTATTTGCTCTGATGATTGGTAAAAGTAAAGAGTTATACACACGAGCATTTTGTTTATTAAGTGAATTATTCATTGAAAATAATATTACACAAACTAATAACCGTGAAACAATAACAGACTTTTAAAAAGCGACGATAAATTCATTAACTGAAAATTTTCCACAAGCAACTCATTCAATATGTTTTATCCATTTATGCCAGAGTATTTATAGAAAAATTCGCAATATTGGGTTATCGACGAAATATGATAATGATCCCGAGTTTAATCTCCTAGCAAGAAATTTACCTGTGGTGGTTTTTTTACCAGTTGATAGGGTTTGTATTATATTATTGTAATTTGCATTGATTTTATTTTATTGTATTTTTTCTAAATCCTTACATTTTATATTTCAGGTTCAGAAAAGCTGGGCCATAATCAAACCATTATTTAGGAGCAACGAACAAAAGCATAAATCTATTAAAGTATTTTGAACATTCAAATATCATGAGTAGACAAGCTATGAAAACAAGAGGAAGATCGAGAGATCTAAGAGAACCAGTTTATACTCCTCCAATATTCCCTCCAGAACTATGGTCTGTAGATAAAAGATTACTATCAGGATTGCCCAGGACGACTAATACAGCAGAACTCTGGCATAGAAAATTATATTGATTAATATCTTCATATCCAGGTTTGTCTGAAATCGATATTATTCTTTATCATTATTTAAATTATTAATTTTATTATTGTTTATGGTAGGACTAAATAAATTAATCAAAATTGTACAATCTACTCAGAGCGAAACTGAAGTAGCAATTGAGACGTTACATTATGGACGTAGTAATAAAAAAATTAAAAGTCAATTACAGTCCCAAAATATGCGCTTAAAAGGAGTGCAACAAAGAATTGAACTAATTTTTTTCGTTTAATACACTGATACGGGGAAGAAAAAATGGCAATACATTTTATAAGAATAGAAAATTTAATAAAAATAATAAAAAACGTATACAAATATAATAAATAAATATATAAATAAAAAATGTGTGTATAAAAATAAAAATAAATAAATTAATAAATGTGTCACCTGAAATATTATGATTAGTGTATTGTACGACCGGATTTAAATTAAAAATTTATCATCAGATATATCACAGTTAAAATGTAAAACGCGACTCCCTGATATAACTGATGATGAATTTTTAATTCGAAACCGGTCCTATAATACTCCAGGCAACGTGTTTATATATTTTTTTTTATTTTGTATTTATAAATTTATTTGCGATTATTAACCATTTTAAGAATTTTGTTTTTACTTTATTACTTTATTAACAAAAAACGATCAACGCCGATGTCGTTGGACAGCTAGTATTTTCATAAAATTCGATCATAAATATTAGATTTTGAGCGAGGAATGTTTTCGTTTTACCGTGACGTGTGTTTTTCTTATTAATGTTTTTATTTTTCTGTTTGTGAAAAACTATCAGGACTACTGTTTCGACCATCAAAAGTATCATCTTTTCTGGAGAAAATTTGTGTCTAGTTGGTGTGTAATTTGATTTTTGTTATAGTTTTTTTTTTAATAATTGATAAAAACGGGGAAAATTTTCTCAAATTTAACCTAACTTGACTTTTCAAATTTTTTTTTTATTGTAATTCGATTAAAAATAATTGCTGAGACCTGAATTGTTTAAAATATCTTAGTGATTTTTAAGCAATTTATATTTATTAGCAAATTTTATAATTAACTTTTAAAAGTCAAACCTATAGGTACTGTTTTTAAATATGTTATAGTGAATACCATAATACACATACACACACACCACACATAATTTAAATTTTATATACTTATTATGTGATATATTTTCAATTTTCTTCACGACCTGGGTTATATTGGTTTTACATTGGATACATTTCGATCAGATTTTTAAAAATTGGACGAGATGTGTTTATCTCTAGTAGTTTTGTAGTCGAATTATAATTTTACTAATTCTAGTATAAACCTGATTTGGTTTTATTCGTTCGTAATTTCGGCATTAACTATCATTGATTGTGGCCTTAAGATTTTAAAAAAATCCGGATATTTCGAAGATACAATTTTCCAGCTAAACATAATTTATCTGTATTCAATAACTCAAATGAATAAAAATATTTACAGCGGTTACCTATTTTATAACCGTAGAATATTTTTATAACATAAGATAGTATACTTTTACCATTTATTCACTATTTTCACAATAATTTTAAAATGATGATAGCATGTTTCTTAAACACTCGAAGAAAAAAAAATATATAATTACATCATCTCATTGAAAATTTGAAAATATTTACTATACATTCAGACGTATAAACTTCCTCGTATAACTTTGTAATGTTGCAAAGATTGCATTTTCGAATATTTATTGGGAATAAACGGGTTCCGGGGTCCCTTAATTTGCATCTGAATATTAAAATGTCGTTTGTACCGCGAGGGTGTTTTTTGCCAATCCAAAACCGAATTTCAAAACTCGTAACTCTGTGTAAGTTTTTTGTCCTAAAGTCCCCCGGGGTGCTTAAAAGGGATTGAAAATCGAATTCAAACACATCCCTACATATATTAAAAGAAAAAAAAAACAACTTCATCCGTGATTGGTATATTTCAGCCATTTGATCGTGGTATAAGCATCGTTTATCCGTATGCAAAATATGTAATATGTATTAAGTGTGTTTAGTTTAAAATATTTTACTCCAGTTTATTAAAGCATACATATTAAAATAATTAAATAAAGTAATATTGTAATAACACACATAAATTATAATATATCATGATTCATGATGTTAAAAATCATACGTCTATATGAAGACGTACGAATATATACGAATTAAATATTATTGGTATTATCAGGGCTGATATTTTCCACACGTATTAAAACAGAAAAATATAAATATTTTATTTCATTGTTCAGTCGGTCCTGATACATTTAAGTACTCATCTTACGTATTTTTTCTTCTCCTTCCAGTGGCGAATTTTATTCGTCTTTTAGGAGGGGCCAATATCCTTTTGGTTCAAAAATTACGCTTTTAACTAATATGACCACTGACTACTTAATGTGATAGGAAAACAGAGACCGTGATTATAATTTATTAACACTCAGAACTTCTATGCAGATTTCTAAAATAAATTATTAAACATATATAAACGTAATTTGAGTACTAAAAATTATTTTATTATCAACATATTCTTTGTAAACGCGATATGATTTCTATAGAAATATATAGACACATATTTAATACTGAATCGAAAACAATATATTGTGTTTGGTCCTAGAGAAGAAGAAGTAGAATTTAAGTAAATTTTGTATAGTTTTCAATACAGACAAGTTACATTTGTAAGCACATTTTATGCTTGGACAAATACTAATTTTGAAAAACCTTCACGTATGGTATTTAGATCAAAAAATAAACGATCAAAAAATTGATTTATAAAAACAAAAAAAATAAATCATATATTAACTTAGTCCCGGTAGTTACTAAAAATTTATAATCTTTTAACGACATTAAATCTATATTATTCATTTTTAAACAAAATAGTTACCTAACGAATAATATCTAACGAAATTATAATATTTAATTTTACATTAGACTTATATTCAAAATATACAAACACGATTGTTGGTGAGAAGTTGGGAAGATAGGATATAGGGGGGAAATTAATTTGTATCTGTAAGCAACAATAAACCGCATTGCTTACTAAAAACGATTCTCAGTGGATTTCAGTTGGTAGTGATGCTTTTCCAACAATACATATGTCATATTATGATAAAATAAATCAATAGAAATTATATATTTAATAATATTTGTTTCATATTGTACTGATTTTCCCGTTTTTTTTACATTTTTCTCAGTTTTTCACATTTGCGGGGAAAACTCTTAGGAATATCGAAAAATGACCTCTTTAAAGTACCTCCCCAGTCAGTTTTTCTTTTAGAAAAATGTCTTCATTTTATACACCGGAGTAAGCTTTCTAGTAGAAAAAGGGTTCATATAAAAAAATAAAAATATATATCACATTTGTAATACCAATACATTCTTCGCTCCACTCAGAATCTAAAAAATATAATTATATATTAATAATTTAATAATAATAACTTAATAATTTAATTATATACTAGTTTGATACTATCTCGTTCGTATAGCTATAGAATACAATAATACGTGGAAATTAATTTTACACGTAAATGTTTGATCGAGTATTTGTTGAAGTTGTATTCAAAAGGTAGTTTATAAGGCCGATTGGGGTCGATGGTGATGGGTGAGCGAATTGCCGCATAGTCCATTTAACATCTAAATTCGGAAATCATCGGTCAATTATCAGAAAACCACATTGAAATAATAATACACGAGTAGGTCAAGGCTCAACTTTATTATTTATATGATTACTATCCGTCGAAATCCTAAATTTTTAACAAATACTGTTTAATTCTACGGAAAAAAGTCGAGCACGGCATTTTAGCAATTTGTATTGTTATATTTTTATTACCTATTTTCTATATTAACTTTTATTTGATTTATATGTTTATATTCGATTTAAGTATATAAGAATATAACAGTTTTTTTTTTTTTTTAATAAACGCATTTTTATTAAAATCCGAACAATTTCATAAATCAAGACACGTTGATAATTTATTCTGAAAAATAAAAAACGTAAAATAGTATTTTTGTAACGAAAGCCTACCTAAACAATTTATTGATTTTTTATTACTGAAGAAATTATTGACTCTGGCAAAGGTACATATTTACAAGTACGGTATATTACACTGTTTCTCTTCACGAGGACAAAAAACCCATATAAGTTGAACAATATGTATCAACGGCAGGGAAGTATATTTTATAAGACAGAACAATAAGGGGTTCAGAAAACGTATATAAATTTAAAGTGTAGGTATTTTCATTGCGTTTAGTATCTAATCTGAAGAATAACGAAGAGGAAACAAAATATGGTAAAACTATACTAAAAAACTCCACGAGACAAATCGCAACATTTAGACATGCTCCACATTGCATCACATTGTGTGATGAGTAAAGATGTTCAGATCAAGATATAAATCGATTATACGTCTCTTTTGCTGGTCAGCATATTATATATTCACATCACATTATTATTTTGCATTCTTGTGCAAAAAAAATCATTTTAGATTCTTAGTGGAGCGAAAAAGCTAATGATGGTTTTAAAAAGATTTTTTTTTTTTTAATTATGCGTAACTTTTCTTTAGAGAGGTCATTTTCAAAAGTTTTCCCAGTAAATATGAAAAACCGGAAAAAAAAACATGGGAACACTAAGAAAAACATAAGAGAAACGGGAAAATCAGTACATTAAACAAATATTATTAAAAAAACTATGTAATACCTATTTATTTATTTTACACTATCAATTGAACTACGCTCAGAATCGTTTGTTTCGTTAGAAATGGTTTATTGTTGCTTACAGCGGTATACATAAAATTACTTATAATAGCGGCTACACCCCTCCTTATTATCCTAGGACAGAATTTTTTTTTTTGACCACAAATAAAATTGTGTATAATATACGACATAATGACGTGTAATCAATATACAGGACACTGTATTACCATATTTTCTAAACAGATTTAAAATAACTGAAAACATTTTACTGATAAACAAGTTTTTCTTTACAA